TATATATATATATATATATATATATATATCTGTAATGGGTATATATATCATTTCCCTTAACCTTGGACCTCAAATGAAGAACTATTGGTCTACTTTTATACGAGGCATAGGATATGTGTGTTTTAAATGCGTGCATACATACTGTATACATTCACCTCTGTGTGCGTGCGTACGCACATCTGTGTGTGTATGCATATGCACGCATGTATATGGAAAAGGCATCTTGGGAGATGGTGCAGGGCCTCCGCCTCCCTCTGATAATTTGCAGATTTGTAATTTATGATTGAATGTACTTGGTTTTCTTTTTGTTGATCTTGGTGCAGCATGCTTCAGTGTTCACGTTAGAGGTTCAGAATTCATACCAATACTTGGATCAAGTGATCCAAATTTCTCCTTCTTGGGGGTCTCAGACATGGACTTGTGATCAAACACAGGTAAAATTCATTGGGTGCTGTCTCCTTGATAAATGCATTTTGGGCCGTATTGTAAATGACAAAAGTAAGTCTTATGGACTGTAACACTGATTCTTTAAGCTTTGCAGGAATAGTGAGCAAAGAAACAGATTTTGGCTGAGGGTGATGGATTGGCTTTGGGTGTTAACGCAAATGGTTTCTACTAGGAAATTTATTTCTTTATAGGGGGGAAATTTTAAGTCGTTGTACTTGTATATCACTTAAATGGATGAGTTATTTTCCCGTTTATGCTCATAAATGAATTAACTAGGAAAGCAGCATCCATTTGCTATGTAATATTGTGCAATGAATTTACATTTGTGCAGAAAAAAAACATGTAAAGGTTGTGTTTTTGCTGCAAGTTAAAAAAACAAGGAGTTGCTCTATACCTTAAATGTAATTCCAACACTAGAAATGCAGCAAATTGACCTTGATAGTCATGAATCTAGTTAAAGAGTGGATTTGAACCCCCAAAAATAGTCCATCCTGGGACATGTTTTCTAGACTATCTAATTCAAGTGTTCACAGATTAGCCAGATCTACATGCTATATTGGTGGGACGGTACAAGGATTTCTAGCACCGGAATTGCATTTCGGAATTGCATTTTCTGGTGGCTTTTGGAGTGCAGCTTTACCAAATATCTTAGAGCGATGGCCTTACAAAATGCACACCCTTCTTGAAGTGCTGAAAAATGCCTTTATTATGTGTATCACTTGCATCATATTCTCTGGTCTAAGAGGCCCTTATGTTAACATAATTCATGGTCCATTCTCTAAAGGGTTTGTGTTCTAGGGAACCTGTGTTATATTGTTCATTATGCTCTAAGTAACATTAAGCATCTATTTGCTTTCTCGACGAAGACTTTTAGTAACATCAGACGATAGATGGCTAATGTTATAGTAACATTTCTTGATCAACTAAGGTAGTTAATGGGCTGGATTCAGGCCGAGCCAGCGTGGCCCAAGCCAGGCCAGAAAAAGTGGGGGGTAGCTTGGGCCAAGCCTGTACCTGTCCTTTATTCATAATAGCATCAGCATAGCCTGGGCCTGAAAGCTGGACCGGCTCCTATAACAATATAGAAGTACCTGAAATATATGCACTTCAAAACATAATAGTGTTCCAGTACTGGCCCGGCCCCCTTAACAGGCCTGGTAACGACCTGAATATGGTTGGGGTGAAATTCTATGCCTTATCCAACGTTTTTCTCTCCACCGTAGAAAACATATGTAGACTTATTTGTATATTAAAAACAAGGAAAAAGTTTATATAAGGATGCAACTTTATAATGTAGAACTACGGATGCACCTCAAAAATTCATCGGAAACGGTAGTTTTAATGTTGAAAAACCCTTTGATTGATCATCTTGACATCGAGATTTATGACCATGAATAATAAAAAGATTTCAAGTCTCAGAAATAATGCATTTTATAACATATTATCTATACCGTCCATTTTCGAGATTTTCATATGTTTATAGATCTTCTTGATTTTAACCGTTTTTTAAATTTGAAATTTTATAATTAGATATAAAATAGATTTTGAGATAATCCTAAAAACATTTTACATCAAAATTATATACCATAATAAAATTTGAAGGTGCACCTTACCTCTACAGCTACATATGCATGTGTATACCAATTGCACATATGCATCTGTATACCAATTGCACCCTAAACACAATGGTAACGTACTTTTTAGAGGTACGAGTTGGTTTACATGTACATATATGTAAACACATATTGTGATGTGGATTGATCTATATCAATCCCTTATCTTGATAAATAGATAGTATGGTAGAAAGCTTCATATAGTTCTTTCTACTGTACTATTTTCATTATCCATATCTCGGCTATTCAATCTAATCCACTCATTTAAGACTTAGAATTGTAAGAATTAGAATCCCTTTCATTGAAATGGTTGAATAATTGGAAAATGAGATTATTCAAGAATACACATGGAATGCTGAGATTACGCATTGAATTTCTAGTAGTACATCTATAATCACAAAAGTGTTTATGAAGTCTACCCAATACATTAAGTAGAAGGCTAAAAAAAGATAAAAAGTAGGCCTAAAAGGACAAGGTTAGAAGTAGTGAGAAAATATATAGATTTATTACCTTATTGAGGGAACGGATATTGCCAATCTAAATAGTTGAAAAAATGTTGATGATGATGATGTCTACATACTTAGATCTAATTTAGGTCTGATAATTAATCTTGTTCTTTCCCCAAAAAATTCAAGAGTCGGAAAAAGGACATCGTTTGGCCTATGGGTGAGGGCCATTACTTATTGGGCAATGATCTAATGTAACGGTTGTATCATAATATAATGGAACCGCATTTCTAGAAAACCATGCTTGTCGTATTTGTATGACACAAAATTTCACATACACACTATCTTCATCTCAATAATCAAATCTCAAGAAAGAAAAATGAGTCCCTCCTCCAATAACGAATCTAGACCATTCATTTGGTTAATTTCAAGATCTTAGCCTTTACAAACTCATAATGATTTTTTTCTTCTTTAACATTGTTCATCTAATGATAATAAAGCCATCTACAAAATTTGGAAAAGAAAAAATCTTTCTAAGGCCTAGATCTAAGCATCTTATCAAAATGTACAGCCTATGTTAATTAAAATTTTCTTTTTTTTGTGATTATTCATTAAAATGAAAAGAGTGCATATTTTAAAATTAGGATCAAACAAATAGTCCTAACATGGTTTTTGAATATTGTTGCATTATATTATGATACAACCATTACGTGAAATCACTGCACTTACTTATTGGGTGCGATTTGTATAGAGCCTAGGATGTAAACAATCAAATTAGAGCCTACTTTTAAATAGTGTCGAAAAATATAGTTTCAATAATGAAAATATTTGTGATAGCCTTAACTATATTTTTATTTTTATTTATAAAGTTTAAAGCTTCAAAAATAGTATTAGATCGACAGATCTATGAAAGCTTGAAAATATTGAAAATTGACGGTCCAAAAATGCGTTATAAAATACATTATTTCCAAAACTTAAAATCCATTTTTTTCTCATGTCGATGCATTATAATGTCGAGATGATCAATTTGAGGATATTTGAACATCAAAAACAATTTATTCTAGTGAGATTTTTGAGGTAAGCTTGAATTTGATTGCTTAGAGCCTCGGCTAGGCTCTATATAAACTTTTTCCTTACTTATTAAGCACACACACAGTAAAGTATTGTGCGGGAGGGATTTGTTTGGGTTGAAATTTTGTATATTTTTTTATTAAAAAATCAAATATTTTTGAGATTTTGACTTCTTAAGGACCTGAATTCACAGTCCGGCGTCCAAATGGGTTGTTGAAAATGGTGAACTTATTTTGCCCTTTTCTGAGTTAATTTATTAATTTATTTATCCTAATTTATTCTGAATACCTAGTTGAGACTTACATGTGTGCAAATTTTAGTTTCTATCTCGGACCCCTACTTTTCCCAAAATCCTAATTTTATTAACACACAGATTTCGTCCCTTCTCCTTCGATCTCAGCCATCAGGGCTTATACTACCACAAGCCTGCAAGCGAAAAAGTTTATATAAGGTTGCAACCTTGAAATATAAATTACAGATGCACCTCAAAAATTTATCAAAAAAAGTTGTTTTAATGTTGAAAAACCCTCTAATTAGTTGTTTTAATGTATGAATATGAAAAAAAAAGAAGATTTTGAATCTTAAAAATAATGCATCTTGAAACACATTATCTGGACCGTCCATTTTCAAAACTTTCATATGTTTATAGATCTACTTGATTTTAACTAATTTTAGAGTTTAAAATTTTATAATTAAATATGAAAATCGATTTTGAAATAATCCTAAAAATTTTTTACACCAAAATTACATGTTATGATAAAATTTGGACGTGCACCTTAATTGGATTGTTTAATGTTGCAACCTTATAGAAACCACACCCTATAATTAATAATTAGCATGTTTCTACCTCTTTAGGTGTGTCATTGATTACCATTAATTGCAACTGGAAGCAAAATAGGCAGTTCTTATTGCAGGCTAAACGCATTTAAGGGCCCATATGTGTAGCATTTCTCAAAGGACGGACAAACACGCTATGGGACAATTCACAACCTAATGTACTCGAAAAATAGAACTAAATGCATTTAATAGTCTACACAAACAAGCCCTAAAAGAATACACGAGCATTGAAACAATGGATCCAAATGCACGACTCTTGAGCATGTTAGGGTTAACCTGTTTCAGGTTATTTAAGAGAGTGGTGCAGTCGAATTGACATATTATGGATTCATGGTAGAATTCATGCCCGAAAGATCTGAAAATCCTTAATTCATATTTCAAAAATGTCAAAAGTTTACTCTATAGTCTTCACTCATACATTTGCATACTGCATGCCTCTTCCATTCATGCTGGTTCCTGAAGTAGAATACTGATCTTCATAAGTGGTGACAATTAAAACATAAAGCGACTCCAATTCTTGATTTGTGCTGCCACATTCTGAAGAGTCTCTGTGAGTGAGGGACATCTTTATACGAATACCAATCTGTTGCCTGTTAGTTACTTAAGTCCAATCTTTGGTTCAGAATCAGGAATTCTTTTCCAAACCAGCTTCACGTTCCTTACGCCGACGTTCTCTCTGCAATGAACCATAGAGCCCAAAACAAGCACATGATATCTTAATTCATATTCTCATTATTTAACAATTTCAGAGAAGGATATAGAAAATCAGTTCCATTCGCTGTAAGTCCGTAGGAAATCAATTCTTTTAGATCAAAGTTCCAAAAGAAACCCCACCCCTCTCTCTCTCTCTCTCACACACACACAAATTTAAACGTATCTAATCTGAAATCCCAAGACCAATCCTATTACACCCAATCCTGCCAACATACCTGTTATAAAAACTAGCCTTCTTAGGTATATCATTTAAGAAGTAATAATATCATGTGGGGCAATATTTTGACAGTTAACATTGTCTTTCTGCAGTGGATCTCCTCTAATCCATCTAACGATTTTCAAATAGGTCTTTACTGAGGTTAGTCACACAAAAAACAGTGCATTCATTCTTTTTATATTTGTAAAGGTCAGTGCATTTGTTCTAAAATCTAAAAGGACCTCCAAAGAGCAAGACAGTCTAGAAAGGCCTAGAAGTTGTGAATTGGTTCCCCATGTCTCATTTGGGGACAACTCGGAACCACAAACATATATTATTCAAGACTTTGTAAGAGCCGCTGAGGAGATTCTAAAAGTCAAAACCTACAAAAAAGAACCTATTGTAAGGCATCCCATCTAGACTGAAAGGTTTAAAGATCCCCAATAGTGTTTGTCTCATCCCTGAACAATAATCTTGTAACCAGCCACCATCATGATTCCTTTGTTATGAAGATGAAATTCTTTCATGACATCAATAAGCTCACCTCCCAATATCTTAACTCTTGGAGGGGAAATGTTAAAGTCTCATACTACACAAACATCTCATCTATCGCAAAACTAAATCCTTGAGCTCATTAAGAACTCCCACTCCAACCATGTTGCATCACTAATGGGCAACCAATCAAAACTGAAAACAAATATAAACAACAATCAACCATCTTTTCCTTTATATAGCTTCTCAAAAATCTCAATGAAATCATTATTTATGTGAGTAATTTGTGCTTCTGCAATGCTCCAAATAACTATTGCGGTGAAGAGAAATCCTCTTTTAAAATTGATCATCGCAGTGTTTAAGAAGGAGGCCTCCTCAGCACCCTAGGTGGATCCTTGAAGCAGGCCAAGGCTCTAGGCACCTCCCATAGGCCTTGGTGGGTGTTTAGATTTTTTATTTTAGGGAAAATTATGTATAAAGGATATATATCTACTGCTATTAGTTATATTTACTGTTATTACGAAAATACCTTAAAGTTTTTGTTATTATATATATATATCCGTTTTTTCAATTTCAGAACACTTTTTTCTAAACAAGATGGAACTACCCATTTTTGCTTTTTCAAAAACCAAAATTCCTAAAGATTTCGGTTTTTCAAAAACAAAAATTTTTAAAAAAATATGGATTTTGAAAATCCAAATTCATATTTATTTTGGTTTTTGAAAAACCAAAAATTTCCGTGCTAAAACCCCCGAAATAACATTACCCTACGAGCATTTTTCTCTATATTTTAGGGTTCTAAAACAATTTCTCTCCCCCCTACTCCATTACTCACCCTCTCATAGTCTCTCTCTAACCCACGAACTTGAACATAATTGTTCTCCGTCTCATCATGATTGTTGCATTTCTCACTCTTGCTTTATGTTGTTGATTAAATTAATACAATATTAATTATTTATCTTTGAAGTGAATTTTTGGGGGTAAATATTGCATTGAATAATTGATGTATTTACTAGTACACTGTATTGCTCAGTTTTGCCCCATGGGCAAGGCCAACTTGCCAGATCTATTACGTAAAACTCACATTTTACGAACCCTTAATTAGTTACATATATCTCAATTTTCTTATGCCTTATTTTATTTATTGTCTGTAACACAAATTTCGGTATTCATTTAGTACAGTAGCATAAAATATGGTTACCAACAGAGTGCAATTGGTATTTCGATATGGGGGATCTCTTGAGACGAACCTAGATGATATACGTTTTTTTTATAAATGGGGAAATTGAACATGGTGGTCCAAACAAGTTGACTATTATGTACCACAACATGAGTCTATCTAGTGGCCTTAAATTGATTGACTTAAGTGATGATATAGATGTATCTTTTATGTTGGGAGGAAAGTCTTCGAGTATTGTTGCATACATTGCATTTGTAATAGAGCTGGAGCGGCAATCAATGAAATTCCAAACGGCAGAACAAGCTGGAGCGGCAATCAATGAAATTCCAAACGGCAGAACCTGCTGGTGATGACCCATCTACAAGGAATATGTACATCTATAATTTACATTTTCATCTCTAATTTGCTTTAATTGACTTGTCCATATGCACAAACTGTTGCTTCAACTTATACTATATCTTTTGTTAACAATCGGCATAATACACCTTCACCTGATCATTTAAAGAGCATCCAAGTGGCACCCGTCCAAATAGAAAACGAGACTGAGCTTCTACCAAAGCGTGATGTAGAGGATATTGAACCGATTGAGAACCCATGTAGAGGAATTGGTAATGAGATTGTTTTGAAAATTGGTCAATATTTTAAAAATGATAATAAATGTCAATATTATCTGGTTGATTTTGTTGTCCACAATAATTTTATTTTGAAGTTTGTCAAAAGCAAAAGGAGCGGGTATGGGTAAGTTATAAGGCAGAGGGATGTACGTGGCAAGTGCGATGCTTAAGAGAATACGATATACTTTACAGTGAAGTCCATGGTTAAGGAGCACACATATGTAGTGGTCCAATGGGGAGAGCGCTAGCTTATAGTAATTGGGTGGCAAGAACAATTAAAACTCACACTTATGACCAACTTAAGATTACATCGAAGGGCATTATAAAGGATATCCAGTGCGATCACGATGTCAGGCTTTCCTACATGCAAGCTTGGTAGGGCAAATAGCTTGCTAGGGAGATGGTAGATGGGTCACATGACCAACAATACAATGACCTCCCTTTATATATAGAGAAGTTCCGAAAAACCAACCCCAGAACCAAAGTTCGCATCTACATAGATGAAGGCAGGTTCAAACAACAATTTATTGCCTTTCATCCTTGCATCATAGATTTTGTTAATGGATGCAGGCCAGTAATGGAGTATTCATGAGACATTCTTAAAAGAAAAATATCAAGGCATATTATTGTGTGTCATTGCCGTAGAAGCAAATAATGACATTTGCAGTGGTCGAGAAGGAGAACGACCAGAGTTGGCATTGGTTCTTGAGTATTCTAAGTGATGTATTCAATGAGCATGTCAATTTGTTTGCCTAGACAATAGTATCAGATCGACAGAAAAACCTGCCAAAAGCAATAGCAAAATGTTTTCCCATATGTTTTTCAGCATACTGCATGCGACATTTAGTAGAGAACTTCAAGAGTTTTATGAAGAAGTCAGCAAATACAAGTTTTCGATTTTTTAAAAACCGAAAAGTCCATTACAATTTCCAATAACTTATTGGAAATCAACCATGATTTCCGGTTTTTCAAAAACCGAAAATCTTAAGTTCTTAGTTTTCCAAAAACCGAAAAGTCATATTCAATTTCCAATAAGTTACTGGAATTAACCATGATTTTCGGTTTTTGAGTTAGTGAAAATTAACCATGATTTTCTGTTTCTCAAAAACCGAAAATCTCAAGTTCCCAATTTTTCAAAAATTACCGGAAATTAACCATGATTTTCGGTTTTTCAAAAACTGAAATCTCAAGTTTTTGCTTTTTCCAATATTGAAAAGTTAGTTTCAATTTCCTATAAGCTATTGAAAATTAATCATGATTTTTGGTTTTTCAAAAATGGAAAATCTCAAGTTTTTGGTTTTCGAAAAACCGAAAATCTCAAGTTCCAAATTTTTGAAATATCGAAAACTTAGTTTCAATTTTCAATAACTTAATGGAAATTAACCACGATTTTCGGTTCTTCAAAAAACCGAAAATCCCACACTAAAAACTCAATTTCAATTTTCAGTAAGTTACTGGAAATGACACAGGTGCCTTCGTAGTGGCCTTTGTTGTCCCTTTTGGCACCAACTCCAATAATGTCGCTGAGTTCCATGCCTTGGATCGAGGCATCTCCTTGGCACATGAGATGGATTGTCGCCCTCTTATCATTGAGAGTGACTCCAAGTTGCTAGTCAACTCACTCACCTACCACAGCTCTCCCCCGTAGAGGCTTCGCATCCTCTTGTCCTACTGTAGGGCAAAGCTCTACTCCTTTGCAGATCACCAGCGGCAGATATTGCATATATTCATTGGCATTTTTGTTTGACTGCTGATTGTTTTGTCACTCCCTTCATTTTGCGGGATAAATGCCAATGTCTCCCTTGAAAGGGGTTAATTTCTCGTACATGTTCTCCTCTGTGGTGTAACCTTTTTTCTTGTGCTCATTAATAAAAACAAAACAGGTAGGGGCTTGTTATCCCCACTGATTTACCCAAAAAAAAAAAAGTTACTGGAAATTAATCGTGACTTTCGGTTTTTGCAAACCAAAAATGTCAAGTTTTCGATTTTTCAAAAACTGAAAATTCAAATTCAATTTTCAGTAAGTTATGTGAAATTGAAACTGACTTTTCGGTTTTTCAAAATCAAAAACTTGAGATAATCGGTTTTTCAAAAACCGAAAAGTCAATTTCAAGTGCTGCTAGAACATTAAACATTATTAGCCCCCTATTCAATTGTTCAGACGACTCTAGAACACAGTTTCCCACTCTTAAGTTTTATGCACTTGTGTGAAACTTTTAGGGTTGCTATACTGTTGTTCTCTTTTCACATTTACGTTATTAGCCTCCCTATTTAATTGTGTGATAGTGATATACATCTGTAGAGCCTGTGTTCAATGTCCAGACCACTATTGAACACAATTTCCTATTGATAATACAAGTACTGCTAGAACATTAAACAATATATAATACCTTGGAATATCACAAGTTTAACCAAACACTCAAGCACCTTCCAATAACCTTGGAAGTGTGAGGAAAAACCACTGTTTTATAAGCAATGAC